TTATTTCCTTCATGCATTTTGCTGTCAAAAAATTTCAATTTCGCGTTGTGAACATCCAGAAACTATTAGCATCTGCAGCAATTCAATTTCATGTAGTTGCAGAAATAATTTTTTTTTCTCTTGCAATTGCTATCAAGGGATTTGAATATTGTCAGGTATGATTTTTAATAAATTTTTACGAAATAATCTTAAATAACCCAAGTTATATGAATTCAAAAAAAAAAAATTTTTTTTCAAAACAACCAAAACCATAAACTAAATTCAACTCGGTTGTATAAAAATAATATGAACATATCATAACTTAGAAACACTGATGGCAAAAAAGAACTCGGACAAAAACACGTCCATAGCATAGAATTTAAAAATATTATTTAAAGAGAAACAAAATATTCTTAATATTTGGTCGGCAAACTTTTACTTTTACTGATAGCCTTCAGTCTTCTTGGCAAAGATTCTTGCATGCCATGTAATCTACTTCCCCCAACTCGTCCAAAATAGCGGCTTCTAGGTCTTTCTTGTTTCTATTAATATGCATTTTCAGTTTATTTTCCAAATGAGCCCACAGATATTCAATTACGTTAATGTCGGGAGATTGAGGAAGTGTTTCAAGCACTGTAGGACAGTTTCACTTCAGCCATAGACGGTCATGCTTGGGATCGTTGTCTTGGTGGTACTGAAAATTGTCTTTAATTCCCAACTTATCCGCATTTTGTACCAAATTTTTTCAAATTTAAAAATATAAAAAAAATAAAAAAAATTTTTTTAAAAAAAATCAAACATAAGATTCCATTTTTCTTAGAAACATAATTTTCATTCATAAAAATCAGAAAATTTGTTAAACTCGATCAAATAAATTTTCACAAAATCCTTCTCATAGTCATTACTTTCATCTTTTCTTGAGAAGTTTCTTTTTACTTTTTGCACTCTCTCTCTCTCTCTTCACCCAAATTGTTAAACCAAAAAATAAATTTTATTAAAACAGCTGAAAAGTAGAATTCTGCAAGTAATATATATATATATAATTGGCGCTTTGTAACTGCCGCGATTTTCCGCCGAGCTTCACCTCCAATTTGACGTTTTTCCAAAAAAAAATCGAGGGATCTACAGTTTATATTAAGCCGCCTGCGAACGGCTGATGGTTTTTTTATGAGGAGCCGGCCAGCAAAAAATATTATTGTAATCAATAAAAAATACATATACAGAGATTGGTACACAGATAGTTCAACTTCAACACCTTTTTTGAACGCTTATGAAAATATTTTGAATTCCGAAAAAAAAAAAAATTGCTAGACAGAGGAATACATTTTCAACTATTTTCACTTCAATTCATTTTATTATTAAATTAATACTAACTAAACTAATTTTCAGCAAATCAAAGTATGCCATAAAATATCCCATAAAGTCTATGTTCGCCTGACGCATTTTTTAAGTTAAGTAAAAACACAATTTATATACATACATATAAAATTTACTTAAAACTTTTTATTTACATTCCTTTTTTATTATTTTAATATGCAAAAAAAATCTATATTCTCATTTATTTATTTATTTGTATGTATGTATTTGTTTTTCCAAAAAAAAAAAAAAAAATGAAAGGACCAACTAGCAACAGAATCCACCTCCGAATGACTGATCGATTTCTACTTTACCTACATATTTATTTCATTTCAAAAATACACTCTGAAATAACCATCCACAAGATAGTGCGCACTATTAACCATTAGCAATAATATCAATTTTTGTTTCAAGATCACCAAACAAAATTACCAAATGCCAGTCATATGATGTGGCAACATTTCAAGTAGTCGAAACAAAATCTATTTCTTTTCGGAATCAATTTTTGAAAAAAGAAAGAACTTTTCCAAAAGTACACCAGAGTAGAGCATGCATAAAGAATACATTTTTTGAGTACAAAATGAACAGCAAACCCAATTTTTATGTCACTTTTTAACACTACCTAAGCATAAAATTTTGTTGGTACCCAATAAAAATTTTTATTGGAAATTGGTTTGAGGTCAATTGAAGATCCAACTCGATTTCCAATTTTTCAAAAATAAATAAATAAATAAAAAAATTTCTAGTATGAATTCAGTGGTGAAACAATGCCTGCTCAAGCAAAATGGCATATTTTCAATAAAATTATATAAATTCCTTTCCAACAATAATCTGTCAACCCTTTTGAGGTTGAAATTTTTTAAACGTTTTAACAGATGAAGCCAATTTTCACCACGATGGTTGTCAATAAACAATCGCATCGCATCTGAACCTCGGAAAACGGAGATTTATTACTGAAAAGTTTCTTCATCCTCAACGTTTAACTCTTTGGTGCGATTTATGATTTGACGGGGTCATTCGAGCTTACTTTTTTTCGAAAATGAAATGTTTGCGCTATGGAGGAAAAATTATTACTTTTTATCACCGGAATTGTAAGTTATTGATTCTGATAACTTTTAAACTGACGGCGCTACGTGCCACTCATACAACGAAACCATCGATATTTGAAAGGAAAAGTTTCTATGAATATCAAAAAAAAAAAAAAAATTATTGAAATAAAATGCCATGGAACATTCCTCTAACGGATTCTTGAAATTTCTGTACACGTCTACAATCTCTTCTTGATCACTTTCGGAATCACAAATGATTTCGTACCGTGAGCATTCTTCAAAAATGTTTCGCTTACAATTCGACAGCGAAGGCACTTCTATTCTAATTTTTTCCTTAAGACACTATGTGTCTAAAACCAGCAAATATTTTCTCCTTTACGCATGGATGTTCTTTACTCGCTTTAATACAATAATAAAGAGCGCTGAGTAGCCACTGAAGCGATTTTCGGCTGAGCTCGTCTTCCATTTCATTATGTTCGTCTTGATTTATGATCTATTGCCTCCCTACGTCCAAAGGATTTTTATGAGTAGTTTGTATTTCATACCTCTAATTCACTCAGAGGGCTTGAAACATTCTTTATAGGGGGAGTATTTAGGTGTTGGTGTTTAACTAGAAGGATTAGTTTAAAAATGAGCAAATATTCTCGGCGAAAATAAATAAATGAAATTATATTAATTTTGAATGATTCTCTTGGGAAAAAAATTCAAAAAAAAATGTATACAAAACAAAATATTTGACTGAAAATAATAATTTTTTTGTTGTAGTTAAGGGAGTAACATAATTTAATTTTAATTATTTATCTATTAGAAAAAAAGAAAAAAGTACCAAAAAATTTTTATATTAATATATAATTTTACATTTATATATATATATTTTTTATTTAATACACATTTTTAAACTAAATTTTTAAAGATGAATATTATTTAATATTCCAAAGAATGTCAAAATAAAATGTTTTTAAAAATATGAATTCTAAACTGCATTGTATATGAGACAATGAGTAAGAGATGTAGGAGACCTTTAACTCTTCTTTTCTTTCTTTTTTTTTGTATTTCAGGAAGTAACATAAATTAATTATTAATAATTTTTAATAAAAAAAATTGAAATAAGTACCAAAAAAAAGATTATACGAAGTTCTATTTTGACATTTAATTATTTCTTTTACTTTTTAATACATTTCAAAAATTTTTAAATTAAATTTTTAAAGATGAATATTAAATAAAATATATCAAAATAAAGTATTTTTAGATTTTAAAATTTATTTTTTAACTAATAAATTTTTATTAAGCATTCTATTGTAGCATGGCAAGACAGACGAAAAGCGCTATGTGAATTCTAAACTGCACTGCATATAAGACAGTGAGGATGAGATGTAGGAGACCTTTAACTCTTCTTTTAATACTTTAAACCGACTAGAAGTAGATTTCACAATTTTATTGCACCTGTGTGGAGAAGCTTTATGGCAGGTATTTACTAGCAGTTGTTGAGGCAAGGGAAGTAATAAATTTTTATTGGAAAATAGATGTCGGCTACAAACGAATTTTCACACACCTACGCTTGCGCTCTGAGTGCGCCGCTAATGGGCCGGCGGTATAAAAGAAATTCCACTGCGTCCATACGGACATATTATATATTGTTATTATTTTAAATTTATTAAACTCTGTACTGAAATTTGTTGTTGCAGCACGGAGAGCATATTGATTCAGAAATCCGAATTTACCATGAATCTAAAATTTCTTCTGAAATGTTTTCCGTTTCCCTCGTCATGTTTTTTCTTTTTTTTTTTTTTATAAAAAACACAGATTTTATTTTTTATCATTCTTAATTACAGTTTTTGTTTTATTGAATTGTTTATTATTTGCGACTTAACATTCCTTATGCCTATGTATGTATATACTAAAAACACGCTCAATCAATAATTCTCTATCACACTTTTCACATTTTTCATTAGATGTGTTTATATATGTATGTATGTATGTATGCATGTATATAACTAAAACCAAAAAAATAAACTTAATGTAAATATATGTATGTATGTATACTTATAATTGTTAATTACATTATCATTATTAACTTGAATATGGAATTTCGCACATAAATGTTGACTTTTAAATTGAATCGAATTAGAAACACACAGTTACATAAATGAAGTTTCTTGGAATGCCTTCGTTTGTTTTTCTTTGCTTTTGTTTTTACTTGTGGAATGTCAGACGCACACACACACACACCGCTAATCAAGTTACTTAAACAATAATTAATATTTTTTACCCAAATTTTTGGCGGTGCTTAGAAAGTCTGAGTGGCTTAGAATATTCTTTTGATTTTTAATTTTTACAGTGCATTTTTATTTAGAAGATTTTAGATTTCTTACGCTGCTCCATCACATGCGCATAACTCTCATTAATTTATTTTACATTTTTTCTCACTTTTAATATAATTTAGCATAAAATAACTTTTAACTTATATTTTTTTAATTATTATTATTACTGTTAAATTAATTTATTTTTAATAATTATTCTTTATGCACTTTACAACTACAGCTACTTTTTTTTTTAATTTTTCCTTTTTTTCTTAATTTAATTTAGTTAATTTTACTTGGTTAATTTGTTACTAATTTACAGTGTGGATATATCCAACAGTCCAGCGGATGCGTCGTGCGGATGATGATGCTGATGCGCCGTTATGTTATGATGGTGCAGATTGTGATGGTGATGCGGCGGCGCCAGATGGTGATGATGCTGATGATGATGATGTAAGAGCGCCAAAGGACCGCCAATGCCCAAACCATCGCTGCCGCTACTACTGCTGCTCACGTCGTTAAAAGCGCCATTATGATTTCCGATGCCACCGATACCGCCGCCACCTAGGCGCCCCATAATGGCAGAGGATACGACTGTGGTGGCTGTCGCAGTGAGCGCGGGAGAGCAACTGACCGATTGTAGGTAGCTGCCAGCACCACCGTTCATGTGTTGCTGCAGAGCGGGCGAGTGCGCGGGCAAGGGCAGTGAGTGCGCTGAAGAGCGGCTACCTCCGCCGGAAGAACCTGAGGCCGTCGGACTGGGACGTCCGCCATTCAAACCATTCACGTAGCTATGTAGCAGATTGACACCACCGTTGCCAACATTGCTACTGCTGCCGCCGCCAGCTTCCATCACCAGACCATGCAAATTAGCAGTGCCATTTTGTAAATTAAGCTCCGCTTGTTGCGCCAGTGTTAGACCCGTAGCACTCGCTGATGTAGGCGTCGAGGCAAGTTCTAATTCATCTTGTTGTTGCTGCTGCTGGTGATGATGATGCGCACGTTGAAGGTGTGTGTGTGATGCGTGTGTTAAATGATGCGGATGCGTATGATGTAGCAACGCTGGCGGCGGTGGGGTAGGCGTCGTGGTTGTGGTTGATGCACCATTATCGACCGATGTCATATCTGCAACGGATGTACCGGCGACTGTAACAATGGCATTGGTATTGGAGGTGGCTGCGGCGGCTGTGGCGATAGCGAGACTCGCTGCTGTTTGCTGACCATATGCACTGGCCATTTCTCACATGTGAGCGAGTGGCGCCATTGCGCGCATCGATTGTTGATGCTGCGCATGTTGCTGTTGTTGTTGGTGCAAATCTGGCGAGCTATTCTGATAATGCATAAGATTGCGTTGATGCTCAGCAGCTGCGGCTGCTGCTGCTGCTGACGCTTGCATTCCATCGGGAAGATGATACATATTCATCAGATGATTTAAATCTGATGTTTGCTGCGTCGCACCATACTCTCGCTTCATTATGTGATTGTTGTTGTTGGCGGCTATTACGGCAGCAGAATTCTGTTGCGCTTGACTATGCAGCGGACTTGGCGAAACAGGTTCCGATTTTATGCTCGAGTCGCTGGGGCTGTGACTTTGGCAGGACACTTGGGAGCCAGCCTGGCCACCACCGCCGCCACCTGAAAGGCCGTACGGTGAACCGGGTTGCTGCTGGACATTACTGTATGGAGAGCCAGGCTGTTGTATGCTGGCATAAGGTGATGTCTGGCCGCCCGACACAGTGCCGTACATGCTGTAGCCCCCACTAGCCGCCGGATTCATATAATTCAGTGAGCCCGCTGCAGCGGCCGCCTGATGCATTTGACCCATGTCGTAGCGATGATAGTTGCCCATGTAGGCGCTGTGTTGCGTCTGATACGCCGCGGCTGAGGGATCGTGCATCATATAACCATTGGGCATGTAGCCGTTTGGTGCGCTCATCTGATACATGTCGCGATTGACAGCCGCGGCTTGTTGTGCTGCCGCAATCGAGGCACCACCATTGTTGCGCGCAGTGGTAGGAGTATTCGGTTCTGAAGCCTGCATTAGCGAACCCACACCCATAGGATATTTCTCCTTCGACTTAGTCAATGTCTTTGTCTTGCGTCGTGGCCGATATTTGTAATCGGGGTGCTCCTTCATATGCACAGCGCGGAGTCGTTTCGCCTCATCAATGAATGGACGTTTCTCAGACTCTGACAAATCTTTCCACTGTGCGCCCAAACGTTTAGAAATTTCTGAGTTATGCATTTTAGGATTATCCGAAGCCATCTTACGTCGCTGACCACGTGACCACACCATAAACGCATTCATAGGCCGTTTAACGCGTTCAGCATTTTGTTGATTCTTATTTGCCGTCGCTGAGTTGTTGTTATTCACATTATGACTACCGCCGCCGCCGCCGCCTAAGTTCTGTGGGCCAGCACTACCAATTGGCGCACCTCCACCCATACCGGGATGATGACCACCGCCGGAATGGTGATGCGATTGCTGTTGTCCACCGCCACCACTAGGCGAGGTCATGTGATGACTGCCAATACTCGATTGTGTGGGACTTAAATCGCTTGAACTGTGTAAAGGAGAACCGTGTTGTTGTTGTTGCTGCTGATGCTGTTGTTGCTGTAGGCTAGAAGCGCTACCATTTAGTGTATTTGCCATGCTAGTTTGCAATGAACTTAACGGATTACTGGTCAAACCATTACTATTGCCACCCAGCAGTGAGCTTTGCTGGCCGCCGCCTCCACTATTAGCCAAATGTGTGGCCATATGATGATGGTGATGCTGTGACAGATGTGATTGCGTCAAATGTGACTGACCAAGATTCATAAGTGGCCCTAGCGCGCTATATGGTGAGGTGGCATGACCATGCAACGCTGCGGATGCATGATGCGGCGGCATAGTTGCATGCAATATACCGCCTTTCATATCCGATTCCATCGTCAACATGTTGCTGTTGTGGTTATAGGTGTGGTAAGATGGTATTGCCGCGTACACTTTAACGTTTTTTTTTTTTAATTCACAGGCGAATAGAGTAAATTTTGTATTTGTTTATTTTTTAATTGCTTTTGATTTTATTCGATTTTTTTCTAATAATGAAGTTTTTATTTTTGATCGAATTATTTTCTATGTACTTTATTATATTTTAATATATTGTTTGCAGTTTTACACTAAAAACACTTTCTAACGCACTGTTTCAAGTTTCTTTTATTTAATTTGCACTGTTTTGAAACCATTTTGTATCATTTATACCATTATTGTTGTTGAGTTATTTCCAATTTTTTTTTTTTTTGTATTCTCTTCTTCGTAAAACTTTTAGGACTTTATTGTTGTTGGGGTATTTTCAAAGATATTTATTCTTATTATTTCGTTCTATTTTTTTGCTAAGCTCTCAGCATATTAGACTTTGCTAAAACTCGCACAGTCACTTAGCAAAGTATAAATAGTATTTTTTTCTTTTAGTCAAATATTTTATATCTTTAACTATGATTCTTTTTTGAGTTTTCTCTTCTTTATAGTATTCTTCACAAATCACTGTTTATTTGACGAATACCCTTAGCAGGTCATACGGTCTTCCTTTTACCCTTTTTCTTCTCCGACGAGTATCGCGATATTATCTTATGTTAGTCGCAGTAAACGAATTATTAATTCTTTCCAAAAATTATTTAAAACAATATTTGTCATTTCAAACTCGATTTTCACAGAAGACTTACTTCAGCGCTTCTGTTTTGCTATATATTTCGCTTTTGGAATTATAGATTTTTTTATTTAATGTTCACTTTCACGGTTTAATTTGATGTTATTTATTCTTAAAGAAAATTATTTTTGTACTGAACACAATTGTCTTTAGATCATGACAAATAATAATTATCAGATTATTAATTCTTACAAATTTTTCCGCGAAGCAATGACGCGCGAATGCCTCCACACTGCACTGAATTGAGCACCTTTCTGTTTCCGATCGACAAACATGAAACCTGTTCGAGGTGCTGGCTGGCCAACTCGCTGACAATTCGGAGAATGCGAGAATACGAGTGCCCCCGAAGTAGACATAGCCTCTCAGGCGAGACTCTCGTAAGTAGTTTGTGGTGGTTGAATAAGTAAATCAACGGCATGAAATAACTCAAAATGCCTATGAGTTTGTGTATAAGCATCAAACACCCTTTCAGTCACACTCTACTAGCAAACTGCTTGAACACTCTACTAAACGCATGTCCATGAAATATATACGTTCGAACTGAGCGCGTTGAAAAGAGATAACATTAGCGTGCACGAATATGTACGGCAGAATGTGCGCACTCACTACGAGTTACATATACCCCACATGCATAGCTGACATTTACTCATACACATTCATAGGCAGAGACACTTTCCAACGAGCATAGCACATAAATCAATTTTCCTTGACAGTCGCTAGCTACATTCGCTTGGCTGGTGGGTTGGATTATGCGCAGCACAAGCGTTGTCGCCGCATAACAGCAGTCCAGCCAACCAATCGTTGCGTTAGCGCACCATGGTGGGGAGGGGTTAGTAGTCTTAGTTTCGTATTTCTGTACTGCGCGCACTTATAATAAAACGTACCCGTTCGTTTGGCAGCGCTTGTGCTATAGCGTCTACTTTTTCTAACGCCTTATGTTCGGAAGTCCAATGCGACTTTTAGGTTTGCTTGTTTATGGCATATTTTGTTGCTGTTGAACGATGCGTTGTTGTGCGGCAGACTGAACGTCGTCGAAGTCGTGTTGCTTGTTTGAATCGCCTTTGAGGCTGTTCGCTGCGCCACAGTCACTGACATCTCGTTCATTCGACTCGTATGTAGCTTGCCGGCTTTACAATCGATTTATTTACTTGCTGCTTGCCACTGTGATGCGTGAGCGCTGCGCTGCGTTACGCCGCCGCGTCGCTCATCTCGTTATGACAACGCGCTATAAAATTCAGAACGCGCATTGGTTGCCACAAAAATTATAGGAAAGCGCTGTTGCCACATTTCACTGTCAGCATACATACTCCAGCGTTCGGTTAGCGGTCGTGCGGTCGTGCGCTCGTTGGCGTATGTATATACGCGTGTGCTCCTGGTTACGCGCCCGCACCACCGTCGACTGCTTGTTGAAATGACGACGTTGATTATTGGGCAGCACCAAGCTGAAAATCTAATGGACGCTATAAAAGTTCCTTAGTACGTGCATATGTATGTTTGCATGTGTGTATGTACATACATAAACATTTATATACATATAAGTATAAGCATGTGCCCAATCAGATTTTTTTTTTAATTTGATGCGCTGGAATGTGACAGTGCGCGGTAAGGGTAAGCGCTTGATTTGTGACTCGTGAATTTAAGTGCGCTTATGCTGAAATAGTTGTTGCTTATAAATTTTTGCTAAACGCTTGATACTAAACGCTGTAGCGCGTTTATGTTTTTCGAATAATCTTGAGCGCTCAGCAAAATTTTAAATTGGCGCATTGACTTTTTTCCCAGAAATTGGTTGAAAATTCAAAGCGGTCTGCCGCAACGCGTTAAAATTAAAAAAAATATATCTATAAACCGTCTCCTTAGCGCAAGAGAAAATTTTCGTATGACGCGCGCGCTTTTGCAACTTCTGGTAGAATTCAAAATTTTCAACTTTAACTCGGCCATAAAAATATTATATCTAGCATTGCATTGCTATAAAGCTTAAAATATATTTTTAAAGCCGGTGGAGCGCTCACTCACTGCCGTTGTTGACCTTACAGTGACCTTCCTGCCATTTTACAATTTGCATTTACATACAAACATATGAAATTTTACACAACAAAAATCAGCTGAAATATCAAACTGTGTCGTCGCGCTAGCTTCATGGATACATACTTATGTACATATAAACATACATATATACACATATAAATATAGTATATCGCTTTCGCTGCCCTTACCGCCCTATTCCGCCTACCCAGAAAACTGCCGTACGCCGCGCGGCGCTGCTGCTGAATACTAGATTGGCTTTTATTGTTTGCCATGTCGACGACTGTCTGTTGCATGCAATTGGTGTAACGTATGCGCTTACATAAATACATATGTACATATGTATGTATGTACAAACAAATGTTTGTGTATTCCTGTTGCTATGTGTTGTAGTATGTTGAGGCAACAATTACGCTTACAATGCCAACAACAAAAACAATGGAAAATAGCAAAAGGCAAAGCAGTAAGCGTATCTACAATGCGTCTGCATATTGTTCTGGCGCAGTACGACCAGACGCACTGGCAGACACTCACTGACTTTTGGATGTTTTTTATTATTGTTTTGCTAGTGTGTGTGTGTGTGTATATGTGTGTGAGGGGGCGGAGTAGCACATACATATGTATGCATATGCATGCATGTACTTGGTTGCTATTTGTGAGTGCGTTTATGAGATTATTTAAATGTGTATGTATGTATACGCACTTGCAACAATCGGAGTAGCAGCGCCGTCAGCACAGCCATTGCTGAAGCAGACGAAAAACGTCATTCAAAATTTTCGGTTCAAATCGCAGTGCATACACGTATCTGGAAATACATGACGCAGTAACATACATATTTCATATGTACATACATATATGTATGCTTATAGTATTTCCTTATATTTTATTCATGTTTTCATGATAATATGAAAAATAATTTGAAAAAAAAAAAATAATTTTATGCAAATTTCTTATGAAATGCGTTGGAAGTAGGTGATAAAATCATACTAGCATACGTATGTATGTATATATATCGTACATATGTACAAAAGAGTATGTACACTATCTACTCATGTGGACGGAGGTCTGCTTAACCAGAGTTTTGGCATTTTTAGTAAATTTAAACTAATGAAAATTATTACATTCGGGTTGGGTATGAACTTTTTTGGAAGACTCAAGTCTTCTTTGAAAGGCTATTACCTAATTTCTCACAATAATTTGTAGTATATGAGTTGGGGGAAAACATACATACTTATATCGATTTGAGACAAGAAGCGCAATTTGTTCTTATGTTACTTTTAAACCATCAGCCATTTGGAGGCGACTTTTGTTAAGCCCCTAGTATACATATGTATGAATATATTTAGACGGTATCACCGTAAGATGGTCAGCACTCACAAATGAGAATTTAGCGATGAACGGGAGCACTACCGTCGACTCCTGCAAAAGCTGTGGATACTCTTTTAGAATTTCTTCTCCTAGATCCGCACAAAAAAACTACAAGCGAGCTGCCACGTAATTAGACTGAACTCAACTTAAGCTTTGAGTGGAGGTCATTTCCCATTATAATTCTGATCTCACCAAATTTTATTCTTTTTTATGCTTGAGCTGAAAATCTTTTTGTGAGAAAATATCGGTGTTTAATTTGAACAGGGAAAGTAAAACGTCTCTGCTGCAGCGCAAAAAGTATGCTTCAAGCGCCCATAAAGTACTACTTTGGTCATTGTTGTCCTTCTGTTGTTGTACCAGCAAAATCAGTCAAAATCATTGAGTTTATTTGACAGGAGGTCCAAAAACGCGCTATTTTGATGGGTTCGGTCCATAGGGAAAGGAGGGTTAGATGAACTGTTTTTAAAGGACATACAAAGTGTGGTTATGTCCTGCGGGGACTCATTGCTTGCAGGACACACGTTGGTTATGTCGAGGTCAAGTCTGGATAGGTAGAAGTTTGACCTACTACAATATCCAGATCCAGATCTAAGTAGCGCCAGTGTTACGCGGAACTCTAGAGACAGCTCGAGCTCTTCGTCTGCAATAGGTGGAGCTTTGATTTCGAGAATGCCATTCACTGAAAGAGAGTTCAGGAAGGTGTTGAGGAACTCTCGGTGAATGGCCTTTGATGCCTGTCGGTAAGGCGTCCTGTCCAGCGATTGTTGTAGATGGTGCTGAAGTCGACAAATTTTCGAAGTGTTTAGTATTCTTAATTCGTAGCATGGATTCTTTGCTGTGGAAGTTGTGCTCTGGCAACATCAGGAGGTCTCGCGTCACGGCGCTGAGAGCAGTATTTTGGCAGGCTGGTGGCTTCTACATTAAACACCATTTAGCTCAACAGGTAACATTGTGGTAAAACGTTTGTATACCGCGGTGAACACCAGGACTCGGCGACTGAGTCACTCTCCCACCACGAATCCTACTCCAAATTTGACCGCTGCGATAACTGTCAAAAATATTTACCAGCTTTTAATGTAACGAGGGCGTTGCTAGCAATATAGGAAACGTCGTGGTGTTCCGACGGGTTCGAACCAAAGAGAGAGGGGATAAATGTGTCAGTTTGAGGGTAGAAGTAAAAAAGGTAGTTAGCGTTATGCGGGGACTCGTTAGATGCTGGACATAGGTGAGGTATGTCGTTTATGGGAGTTTAACCTGCTACAATATCCAGAATTCAAGTTGCGACAGAAGATCGCCGAAAGGGTGACAGCTCTAGACCGGATAAAATCCTGTTCAACTCCGGTGCCATGAACTGAGTGTCGCGAGAGTTTGCACATATTTGTATTGCGAGCTGCTTGCTGCAAGACCGATGCCCTCTCAATGACGCACACTTGGTGAACAGACGCAGCAATTAAACCTGAGACAAATATTAAACTGGATATTTCGGAGTAACTCCATTAAAGACCCTTCACTTTTAGCCGGAAGTGGACGTTAGAGTTGGATTTGGGTATAGTTTTGTAACTGTAACTGCATACCCAGAATATGACATTGATATTTGCGGTAAAGGAGAAAATAATTGATTTCAGATTTTTTTTCATGTTGCATGGATGTAACTCTCCAAACACTTCTTTTATTTGTTGTGTTCCCTTAATTATAATATTTTTGTTTTTGTTTTGTTTTTATTATTGTGGTATAATATTTTGACTGGTGTATAATTTCTGTGTGGTTGTTTTATTGTTAGTGTCTTGAGCAATTTTGCTATTATTAATATGCTTTGTTGTTGTTGTTGTTCCATTTCGTTGCCATTTTTGTTGTTCCTCTCGTGCATGCTGCCGACTTTGTTCCGGGTTTCTTTGCTCAGCCGCTTCTGTCATTAATTTGTTGTTTTTGTTTTTGTTGTCGTTGTTGTTGTTGTTGTATTTGCTGCCGCTGCCGTCCCATTTATTGTTTGGCCTTTAGACATTTTTTTCTATTTAATCTTTACCTTTTGTTAATGTGTCTTTTGTGTTAATATTGTTTTATGCTGCTTTTGTTGCATTCTTTTATATAACGGTATTGCTGCTACCGTTATATAGAGCACACGCACCAATGTACATATGTACATCCACATGCGCTCTTCATAATGTTGGAGTTGATTTCATTGCAAGCAACAGTTTTTGCCGATTTTTGTTGTTGGTCTTCTTTTTTTTGTTGTTGCAAGGTGACAGGTGGATATAGTTACATATGTACCCTTTGTGTGCTCAATAATGTCGCCTGCCAC